CTAAATAACAAATGGTGGTGTAGGCAAACTGATCCACCTGGCTGCGATGGATTTGGTGGCTTGAACACAATATCGTCATCAGTATCAAACAAATTGTCATTTACCCTGACAAACCTCTCACTCGTGATATTTAATTTCTTTAAATATTTTATCTCAAATATATTTTTCTTCTTAACTCTAAAAACCTCTGCAACATAATGTTTAACAGTTTTTTACTGAACAGTTTTTTGAGAATTAAATCACCTGTTTGTACTTAGTAGAATCATTTTCAAATTATTCTTCATTTAGTTCTCTTATTTCTGATAAAATATCATTGTCTCAGAAGAAGTCCAGAATCGGATGTTTGAGGTTCAAAGGAAAGATTCCGTTTAAAGTTTATTTCTTTTGACTTCTTACATTTCTTGGACTTTTCTGTTCTTGCCATGTTTGCTTCAATTTCATGCTTTACAGGAGTGTCCGTCAGTTTGCGGGTTTTTCCTCTCTGTCTTCCCCCAGCTGCATGTTTTCTCGTTTATGCATTGGGATGTGGACGAATCACTTTGGGAGTTATTCACCTTCAGATGTAGAACCACTCTGTTATGTCTGACTGAAGCTGTTTGGACAATGTATGGTAGCTGAAGAACACGATGGTAGGTTTATGTCATCCTGTGGTATTGAGAGAGTAGCAGGTTGGACTGCTTCAAGGCACTGGACTGCACACGTAAGCTCCCGCGGCTCGAATCCATAAATTCTTGGCTATCCGGGAGACGCCGCCGTTTCGCCTGGCATGTCGCAGGCTTCCTCAGGGCAGCAACGTCGGCCTCTCAGCGGCCTATCGACGCGGCGTCTCCTGGATAGCCAAGAATTTAAGGTAATGGACTGTCAGTAATATTAGCAGGCATGAAGTTTACATAGCTGAAAATATTCGGGTCAAATGGGACAAACCCAGAAATCTTAAAACCCTTTATAATATTTATTGGACTGAATGCTCGTTGAAAGGATCGTCCTTCTAATGCAGCAACATAATAAATTTTGACTTGTTTCCCAGCATTTTTTGGTGAAATCATCCAGTTTTTCATTGCCTCATTATAACAGCTCTTGAAAAGATCAAAGACACTTCTATCAAGAGGCTGTAGCTTATGGGTAGTATGTAGATGAAAAGTCATCAGAACAATTCTGATCGCTTTGGCAAATCAAAAACTGGGATGTTAACATGGCTTTCATGATCGTCCAACCGTAACAGATTTGGCTTGTCAACACTAGGCTGAACATGCTTAATAAAATGTTCAAGGAACTGCACAAAAATAGCTTGATTTGATCATCCAGGTCGATTTGCTGCACCTACACTACCAGTGTGTGCACAATTCAGGATAAGGTTTTGAAATGAACATGAGGTAATAGAATGAAGAGTGGAATTCTGTTTCCTGTTGCAATCATTGCCTCATTTATTCAGCATTCTCCTTCTGAGGTAATTCTCTCAATTTGATTTTTCTTTTGGTGCTAAAAGCTTTGATGGAACAATCACTGTTCCACTTTCACCGCAGTCATTCCACTTTCACCACAGCTCCAGATCTCATTTCGTTCAACTTTATACCTGTCTAGCACAGTTTTGAAGTTATTAAAAACTTTAGAAACATAATCCTTATTAATGGCCATTGCTCAAGACAGAATTGTTGCTCCTGGTTTTCTCAATGACAGTCTGTCAGCATACATCTTCCGAAAGTGCCTATGTCACTGCTCTCCAGTGTATTTATTTAATTCTCTGGAAGGATCAAATTTCTTATTATTTTTAACTGCATATTTATATGCCAGATGCCGTGCCTATATCTGGGTTAAACTGAAATGCATGCTTGCAGCATCTCAAATTCTCTAAAATAATAAAAAAATAAATAACCTGAAGGGAAGTAATCATAGGATCAGTTGTACCTTTGACTGGTCAAAGATACAACATATGCTCACATTTCACAAAATTAAGATGTCAAATTTGAGATTAAATTTTTTGAAAATAGAAAAGTGCTAGAATTCTGTCTTAAATTTTGGTAGTTTTCACTATGAAATAGAATAAATGTAATTCAAGTTATGACATAAAATAATCCAAACAAAATACCTACTTGTGACTGTTGCAAACAGATTTCTTTTTTATTCACAACACTAATAACACTTTTCAAATAATGATAAGAATTACAGCAGCTCTAGAGGCAGAAGTATAAACTAGGAATACCAACTTCTAAAATTTATCAATAATACACACTCTGGCAAGGAGTTGCTAAAGGTACACTACCTTCCCCCACCTTCACTTTTTGGTAGTACTTCAGATTGATAATTATCATATCGGAATTAGGAGAAATAGTACTATCTTGAGTCTGGATTGTTGCTCTTATAACAGTAGTTTGAGAGTATAAAACTGGATAGGATTTATGGACTAATTTTGATGTCTCCAGGTGTTCTGAAACCGAAAATGACTTCAATATTTCTCCATAAATTTTTTTGCAAACTTATGTGTTATTTCCCGTTAGTTCACCTGAAGTGTTTAAAATCTCTACATGGCCATTTTGAAGATAAAAAATTAAGATGCTGACTCTATGAAGATAAGCTACACTGTCAAAAATGTCTGCATTACTTTTAATGTAAACGTACATGAAAGTAATTACCATGTACACATATTCAATTTAATGTACATGTACAATATCATTTAAGTTTGTGTACCTTAAATTTACTGTACATGTACATTAAACTTAATGTGTTCATGATAATTACTTTCATATACTTTTTCATTAAAAGTAATGCAGAAATTTCTGACTGTGCTTTTATTACTTCCCCTTCAAGAGCAAATTCTTCTACTCCTAACACATGGCTTTTCTTTGCTAGTATCAATAGAACTCTTATAATGTTCTTGGTGCATAAATAATCAGTAACCAAATATTATTGAATTAATTTTTTCAAGAATTTATCTATATTATTTATTTACTGAATAGGGAAGAATGAATAAAATTTTACTTGTATTAATAAAGAAATATTTGTCTTATTAAACAATACACAACCATTAGCACTTGAGAAATGAAAAATTCACAACTTATCACAATGTATACTTTGTTGAAGTTTGTCCATATTTTGGCCCAGTTAAAAACTGCAGAATCAATTTTTTTCTTTCATTTTTTGAAGCCTTTTGTCTCCTTCTGTTGGATTTATTTTCATAAGTTCCTTGAAAGTAATTATCTTATTGTTAATAAATAATATTTATTCAGCATTACCTTTTTACTCAAACCAATGACAATAAAAATAATTGAAAGAGGCAATGGGTTTGCTTGTACACAGGAACTGAGTTCAAAAAGGAGAAAGATACATACACAATAAAAGAACAAAATGAGAAAGAAAATTGATTTAATGTAAAACAAAATTATTAGTAATATTATTATTAGATGATAATATTATAACTATATAATGTTACCCATCTTTCTTCTTTGATCATTCTAGAAATTACTAAATCAGAAAAACTCTATGATTCATAAGGATACAATCCATTGTCTACTAAACAATATCCATTTTACAATGTTTTTTTAATGCAATTTTACTTTTACTTAAAACCGAGACCAATTGCCAATTTTTTAAAAATTCTCAAGGTTGTAATGCAACTTTTTTTTCAAATGTTCTATTGATAGTAATATATTGTTTAACTAAACATTACTTTTAATTTAGTGCGTAATAGTAATACAACTCCAACTTACCTTCATATAAATTCAAGGTTTGATCCTAATTTTGCAGAATAGACATATCCAAAAACGTAATAGCTGGCAATTATCACACCTTCAATGAGGTCTTTACAAATTCCTTGAACCTTTTTTCAGAATCACAGTTGTTTACTCTGGGTTTACTATATAACATTTTTTCCTGAACTTCAGTTCTTTGACTTAATTTATTTGGTCCATTGTTATATTTAAACAGTCACTTGCAATCTGCAGCACATATATCAATAGATGGAGATTAACAAGTTTCACATTTCATGAAAATAATATTAAATAAATAATACTTATTAATATTAATTAGACTATCTTCACAATCCCAAAATGTCTGCATTGCTTCAGCTTCTCTTGATATTAACCACCAATCGCTATAGGAAACTACTGTGATGAGAACAGGAAGTGAAGAATAACATTCAAAGATTTCACATGCTTTCATATCAGAAAGTTATGACATTTCTTTGATTTTGCACAAGTTTTAGAATTTGAACATTTCTGCTATTAGACTAATATGTAAAAACACTCAACAACAAGAACTTTAGAATTGGAATGAATCCTACAGAAACGCTGACGATCTGTGTTACAACAGGAGAGCCAGCCTTATAATTGCCAGAAATAAGCAAGCTGCCGCAACGCTTTGTGTTACTGCCTTCAAGGTACCTCATTCTGGGAAAGGGTTAGGATTTTCCTTAGCTGCTTTATGCTCCCAAAAATAAAGCACTCTTCTGTTATAGAAATATGAAACATGTCTATAAAAAATAAAACTGCTTGGAAATAAAATCATGAATTTAGAGCAACCTCGGCTCTTAATGGGAGCAATGGTGGTATATGAAAATGCAACATTGTTTAGGGAGTTGCAACGTGATGGGAACGGTTTGCTGCCAGGGTTGAGATTCATTAAAATAATTTGTAAAAAATAAATATGCTTATTCTGATGGCATTTTGAGTAATGTGATGTAGAATGGAAGTCTTACTCTCCCCATTCACTGTAAGGAAATTTATTTCATTGCTTAACGAAGAAGTGTCATTTGTGGAACACAATTTGAATTATCAGCATTGTGTTATAATCCCAAGTATTTCCGCTGAATTTGAAAGAATTGTGAACAACAGAATTAACCTGCAATGTAGGCTGCGAGAGTTTCATTATCTATTTGTTATCAATTTGAATGTAAAATCGAATTTTAAAAATTTAATTTTTTAGTATACATAAAGATATTTTAAATTTTAAGTTAGTTCAAATAGTAGAAAAAAAAATAAGTTGTTGAAAAATATCCATGTTACACG